GGACGCTGTTGGCGGTGGCGCGCCCGGGCATCTGCAGCGAGCCGGTGCCCATCAGCACCTCGGTCTTGGCGCCGAACGCGGCCACTTCGGCGGCGCGGTTGCCCTGCACCAGCAGGCGGCTGGCCGTGATGGGTTTGGTGCCCTCAGCGCTGGCCGCCATGACCATGTTGGCCGTGGCAGCGCCGCCGAGGGCGTGAATGAAACCGTTGACCTGATTGCCCAGTACCTGGATCTGCGACTGCCGCACGTCCATGGCCGCCAAGCCGATGCCGTTGGCCTGCGCGGTGCCCGCCAGGTCCACACGCATGCCCGCATTGGCGAGTGCCGAGCCCTTGCCACCGGTGGAAACGACCGGACCGGTGGATTGGTTGCCCATTACCTGGACTTGGCTGTTGGCGTCCACCTGGGTGCCAGCACTGTTCTTGTGCCAGCCCAGGCCAGCCAGCATGGACTCCTGTGCGCCCGCACCCACCGGCGCTGCGGCCACGGAGATGCCCAACAGCCAGAGTGCGGCCGTCTCATGTGGTTGCGTCTTGCGGGTGTGGCGCACTCGGAACCCCTGGTGAGGAATGGATGGAAGAAATCAGAAAAGAACGGGAAGGGAGGCGAGAGGCAAAGCGCGGTGGCCGCACGCCATGCGGGCATCCGGGCGCTCGCTTCGCCGTGGCCTTAGTTGATGTTGACGCTGTTGACGTTGGCCGTGCCGCCGATGGCCTTGATGTCGGTGGCTTCGTTGCCGCTCACGGTGATTTCGGAGTTGCGGATCTTCGAGCCCGTGATGTTCACGCTGTTGACGTTGGCCACGCCTTCCATGGACACCTCGGCCACCTTGATGCCTGCCTTGCCGCCACCTGCGATCACGTTCGTTGCCTTGTTGTTGGTCACGGTGATGCGGCTGTTGGTCACTTCGGAACCCGCCGAGCCCTTGCCCGAGATCAGACCGGGGATGGTGACGTTGCCGCTCTGGGCAAACGCTGCACTGCAGGTGAGGGTGAGTGCGGCAGCAGCGGTAATGGCGATTTTGCGCATGTGAATAATCCTTGAAGAGTTGGAAATAATCGATGAGCAGCCCTTCGACGGCCTGCGGAGGGATTTTTGATGAGCCTGTTTGGGACGAGCGTAAATAAATGTTGTCCATCGTCCTCAGCAAATCCATCCTTTGGCTTCGGCTGCTTATCTAGTAGCCACTCACGCTACAGGCCGCTTCAAAATTAAAGGTGTAGGACTGGTTCGCACACGCTCACTGCCTTTTCTCCGACAGGAGCAGCCCACCCGAAATCTCCGCAGCTCCCCGCTTTTTCGATAACAAGCTCTTACACTTCGTATAACCCTGAATCTCAAAACAACATTTTGAAATTTCCGAAGCAGGGAAAATAAATGTTAATTCATCAGATTATTGTCATAAATATGAAATTAATCCCCTTCCACCGAAGTGCTTGTGTGCTTGCAGCGGTTTCCGTGCTGTGGGGCTGCTCACCATCCGGGTCCACGTCCATTACTTACCCCTCTGACGCCCAGATCTCCACGGCGTTGGAGGCGCAGTTCGCAAGCGACCGCAACAGCGCGGCCGCGCGCGAATTGATCCGCACGCTTGGGGGGGAGAAGGGAAAGCTGCGCTACGACATCCACCAGGTGATCTACCGCCAGGGCGCATACGAGGCGCGCTATGACGCCGTGCTGGTGATGGGTCAGTCCGGGTCTGAGAGCCTCAAGGCCCTGTACGCCACGATGATTCCCGAGGCGGAGCGCACCAAGCTCGCCCAGCCCAGCCTGGAAGCCTATGAAGCCTGGCTGCGCCAGCAGGCAGAAGCGCTGAAAAAAACGTCTGCGCAACAGGCTGCCGCGCTGGAGAACACGCTGGAACTGCTGGG